AAACAGGACAGAAGGTGAAAAAGGAAGACCATGGACGGAGGACAAAACACGAGAAGACGGACAAAGGACAGGCCGCGGAAGAAAGCAGATCGGGAAGTAACAAAAGGTGGAGAAAAACACAGACGCCAGAAGGAAGCCGAAGGAGGCATTCCGGGCCAAGGGAGGAGGCAAGAGCCGGGCAAAGGAGGAAGGCAGAGCCAAGGCGAAGAGAGAAGCCGCAAAGGGAGAAGGAAGAGGCGAGGATAAGAGCGAAGGCGAAGGCGGCGGAGGTGGCGGCGCGGAAGGCAGCGGCGGAGCCGACGGCTGTAGAAGCGGCAGTGGCGGCAGTGGCGGCGGCGGAGGCTCAAGAGGCGGCGGCAGCGGCGGAAGCGGCGGAAGCGAAAGCTGCGGCGAGTGTCGCCGCCCTCGCCGCCGCCGCCGCGCCGCCCGCCGCCGTCCCTCTCAACGAGCTCATCGCGGCGACCGACGGCTTTGCCGAGGCGCGCAAGGTGGGCGAGGGAGGCTTTGGGCGCGTCTACCGCGCCGACGCGCTGCCGTCGCTTCCTCGCGTCGCTTGCGGGTTCGCCGTCAAGACGGCGCTGGTCGGTGTCGGCGCCCAAGGCCTCGCCGAGCTGCAGAGCGAGGTGCGCACGCTCAGCGCGGCGTGCCACCCGTCCCTGCTCCCTCTTCTCGGCGTCAGCTTGGCGCCGGCGAGAGCGTGCCTCGTCTACCCCCTCTGCCGCGGCGGCAGCCTCGAGGACCGCCTCTACCGCTCTCCAGCCGCGCTGCAGCGGCTCCGCATGCTCGGCTTCGAGACGGCGCCTCCGCCGCTCTCCTCCGCCGCACGGCTCCGCGTGCTGCGCGACGCGGCGAGAGCTCTGCGTTACCTGCACACGCTCTCTCCGATGATCCTGCACCGCGACGTCTCGGCGGGCAACATCCTGCTCGACGAGCGCGGCAACGGCTACCTCGCCGACGTGGGCCTCGCGCGAGCGGCAGAGGCGACGGCCGGCGGACAGGTCTCGCACCTGTCGACGCAGCGTATCTTTGGGAAGGCCGGCTACATGGACCCGATCATCACGCAGGACAACCAAGCCTCGCAGCTGACCGACGGCTATGCGCTCGGCATCACGCTTCTCGTCGCCCTGACCGGCCGCGGCGCCGTCGGCTTGCTCAACGCGTGCGACGATGCGCTGGAGGAGCCCGACACGGCGGAGGGCATCGCGGCGGTCGACGCGGGCTGGTCGGCGGCGCAGGCCGAGGAGCTGGCGCGGCTGGTGGTCGGGCTGGCTCTCGTGAGGAAGAAGAGGCGGATGCCGCTCGCAGACGCATTGCCGCGGCTGGAGGCGATAGTCGGAGCGGCGGTGGAGGTGGAGGAGACGGCTGGGGCCGAGGAGCGCCAGTGCGACCTCTGCTACGACGCGCCGCGCTCGGTCCGCTTCGCGTGCGGCCACGCGCTGTACTGCGAGACATGTGCGCCGCGCGTGCTGGAGCGCGACACCAACTGCCCGACCTGCCGCCAGCCGGCGCTTCCCATCGTCGCAACTGGGACACAGGTGGCGGCGCAGGCGACGTTTGTCCACCAGCCGCCCTCGCGCCCCGTGCCCCAGGCTCAGCCTGCAGGCGCCACGGCGGCGGTCGGTGGGCGAGGTGGGCGAGGCGGGCGCGGTGGGCGAGGGGGGCGTGGACGTGGCGGGCGGGGCGGGCGGGGCGTGGGGCGCGGCGGCTCTGCTTAGTGAGCCGTGAGGGTCCGCCCGCATGCAGTATGTGCGAGTAGGCCCGTCGAAGCGCACTTGGAGAGCACTTGTAGGTGAAGCACAATCTCCTAAAATTCTTTTTGGTCTGTGGTGTACCTGTGTTAGTGCCAGTGCGCGCCAGTCCCGTGCCGCCCGCAGTGTAAAAGAAAGAAAGAAAACAGCGGACAACCCAAGGGAGGCCGGATGGGAGGACGGCACGCCGCCACCACACAGGGATTTTAGGGGGGAGAAGTGTGGTGCTAGCCGTCGCCCACCCTCGGGCGTCTACCACTTCCTATCTCTCTTCGCAGTTTCTCACCAATTCTCGCAGCGACCTTCATGCCACCTCGCGTTCCGTGACCAGTGTCGTGCGAGGGAGTTTCGTTGTAAAATTCTTTTGTGCGAGGGAGCTTTGTCGTAAAATTCTTTGGCCCAGCAGTGCCAAAGAAGAAGCAGGCGTCAGAGACCCGTGTTATGGCCCTGCGAACGCGCACCCCCCCCACGGTCGAGGAAGAGGGTGCGTTCTGCAGTTAAGGGGTAACCCGGTACACGGAACTATCCCTCGGAGACGTGTTATGGCCCTGCGACCGCGCACCCCCGGGGCTAGGGCTCTCTTGCCCGCAACCCGATCCCGATCATCCGGCCAACTGGGTGCGCTTCTGAGCTCCCCGGTCCTGGATGTGAGGCTAATAACCGCACTCCAAGTGCTCCAAGTCAAACATGCGCGCGGCGCGGCACTGCTCGAGCCGCTCGTCCTCCAGACGCTGCAACGACTCCTGCCACTGCCGCTCTCCTGGAGGCAGTGCGAGCAGCGCCGCCGCAGGTGACTCTGTGATATCCTCCAGCAGCCTCCTATCCTCGCTGTCGCGGCTGCTGGCATGCAGCACGGGCTGAGCGCCGGCAACGGACGAGCTGACGCTGTGCACGCGGGAGAGCGGCAGCGTCGACAGCGTGAGCAGCAAGAGGATCGGGGCGACGCGTGCGGAGAAGTGGCTTGCGACCGAGGCCGTGCCTGCGGCCCGCGCTATTTCAGTAGCGCCGCCTCCTGCGTGTAGCGGTGCTGCGGTCGGGACACGCTTCGCGAGCATTCGACTACGAGCTCCTCGGCGCCGGCCGGAAAGACCTGCCCGAAAACGACAACAAGGGATTCGGCTGCATCGCCACTGGGTACGAAGACCGCACGCACACCCTGATAAATTTAGCTCTGAACAATCAATCCCCCCTCGCTCGCAGCTGCGCACGCACCGGCGGCTGCTGGCGGCACCGCTTGTCGACTGGGGCGAGCTTGAGGCGGGAGGGTACGCGCCCTCGCCTGGGGTCAGTCAGGAGAGCGCAGCGTAGGAGCCGTCCGCCGCCCGACAACGACAACCCGGCAGGCCATGCCAGGAGCCGGATCGCGCGAGCCACGCGGAGCGCGTGCTCGGCCGACCCCCCGACATCCAGCGACGGGCTAGGTAGGTAGGTAGAAAGGCGAAGAACAGCCAGGCTCGGACTGGACACCAACGCGGTATGGGTGGACGCTACGGGCTCACAACCAGGAAAAAAATGATATCTGAAACCCGGCGAACACGATGAATCCTTCCTTGCCGCTGCCATTCCAAACCATATGATGCTCGCTACGCTCGTTCTCGGTGCTCCCGTCGTCAACGTGTCTTCGTCAGTCGTCCGATTCTGCGAGGGCCTCTGGGGGGAGGCGGGGGCCCCCGGAGGCACCGTGCGCCGCGCAGCAGTGCGGAAACGGGGCTCCGGCTCTACTAGTCTCTACTAGCACCGACTTCCCGATTAAGTACGGTTAAGTAGAGGGCAGATTTGGAGAGATCTCGAGGAGTACATACAGATAGACCCTTCAACCATCACAAAACTCCGACCTGATCGGTCGTACTGACCGCCGACAGATCACTCCAGACAGCAGACAGGCCGACGTCTGCACACGGCCGGCCGGGCGAGAGGCTTGACACGATCCGACCCTGCGACCCTGACGCTGCTGCTCTAGCTGTCAGACATGCGCTGCTGACTGCTGCCACAATGTGCGACCGGTGCTGACCCACTTGGCGGCCTTCCCGGTCAGTGGTGAGGCGCAGTTCAGAGCTGTCGATGGCGCGATGCCGCACTGGTCCCACATCGGTGACACGAGACCACCACGTTTGCCGGTCCAAGAGAGAGGCACCGGCGCTGTCCTGAGAAGGTGCATGATCCCTCTTGACTGCCCATGCGCGCGAGGCTGTGTAGGCATAGCCTCGAGATTGCCAGCAGCCAATCCGAGGCAGTTTGTGACGCGCATTGCGTCAGAAGCGTGCACGCGCTGGAAGGACACCTTCCTACTGGCCGTACGATCAGGTCGTCACTGAATGCCGAAGACTAAGGCCGCGAGCTATGCAGGCGGTCAGTTGAGCAGCATGGCACGGTCAGCAGCGCCGAAAGGATGTCGCAAGGCGTGATAGCATGGCCGCAAGTACGCCGAATTCCCATGGAAACAAGTAAAAAAACGCGAAAAAGAAAAAATGCCAAAAAAATCGGCGCCTGCGGCGGGCTGGGGGACCCCATCTCCCCCCCGCATGGGTACCCCCTAGGGCCCTCGCCTCCCCCCAGAGGCGAGGGCCGAGGCGTCGAGAGGCGCGCGCTCGAGACCGCGGGAGCCGGGAGGGTGTAAGCCGCTCCCGCCGCGCCCGCGGCGACGGCCTGGGGGTGGGGCGGGCGGCGCAAGTGCGCTGCGCTCTTCAGCATGCGTGTTCGCCTCTTCCCACTCCCGGATCTGCCGGCGCAGCGTGTGGTTGGGAGCGAGGAATTTTGCTCTTCAGTGCCGCCACTTGGAGCACTTGGAGTGCAGTCATCAACCTCACATCCAGGAAAAAGAAAGAAAGACAGACAACCCGAGGGAGCGATGGGAAGAACAACCCAAGGGAGGGAAGGGAAGACGGCACGCCGCCACCACACAGGGATTTTAAGGAGAGGAGTGTGGTGCGCTAGCCGTCGCCCACAACCCCTTGGAGCACTTGGAGTGCAGTCGGCAACCTCACACCCATGTATGTATGTAGTAAGGTGAAGAACAGTCAGGCTCGGACTGGACACCAACGCGGTGTACGGGTGGACGCAAGACAGATGATGACGACACGCACGAGCGACACACAGACACAAACAAGCTCACAAGACACACAGCCAGCGGGCTGCCACACATCCTGAGTGGGCGTACACATCACTCAGGCCACGTCCCCCCTGTCGCCCCCCCCACCCAGCACTCCAAGGTGCCAAGAGACAAACAACAGCACAACAACACAGACAGGCGACAGGGGCGAACGTGTGAGACTAGAGCAGGCTTGCTCCGCCTCTAGCAATCTCGTCGCCGGCCGCAAGGCACGGACGAGACCGTGTGTGGGGTCTTGTGTGACACCCAGGACCGAGCTAAAACTTGATTTTCCCGCGAGATTTTTTCGGCAACGGCACGAGGCACGCGCCCGCCGCCAGCGCCCCGCCGGGCGCCTTCGGCCAAAAAAGGCAGCTCGGCTGGCTCAGTGTCACCAGACTGAGGTCCCGCCTGCCGCGCTCGCAGGGAATCTCGCGGCTAGAATGGGTTGCGGAGGCTCGAAGCCCACTGACATGCGGGGCACAACATCGGCCTCCGGCCCTGCATCGACTGCGACACCGGAGCTGGAAAAGCTGCCGGTGGAGCCTGCGGGTGCTGCGCGGTTGCAGGGTAACATTGGGCAAACTAAGTGCAGGTTCAACGAAAACTGCCACATGGAGCCGTCGAGGCTTCGGAGGTAGCTCTCTCATCCACGACTGTGCCGAAGAATTGGGGGTCCTACGGCTTTACTCTCTCTCAAGAACGACCGGACTGCGGACTCTGTGAGATTTTTTGTGATATGGTAATATACTCTCATCAGTCCACGTCCTCGATGAGCTCCTCCGGCAGCGCCAGCGGCGCTTGCGGCTCGCCGGACGTGCCGCCGCCGGAAGCTGAGGGCGAGTCCACCCTCTCCGCCGCGCCGCTCTCCCCCGCGGTGCTGCGCGCGCCGTGCTGGTCCGGTTCGGCCGGCGGCGGTGGCCCTGCGGCGGCCGGTGGCGGTGGCCCTTCGTCGGCAAGCGGCGGTGGGTGCCCTGCGGCCCCCCCTCCTTGCCCTCCGCCCTCCCCTTGCACGGTGGCCTGGGCCACGGAGGAGGGGAGGCCGGCCGGGGGCTGCTCTTGCGGCAGCCTCGCCCGGACCATGAAGCTGCACCCGGCCGCCCCGCCGCCCGCCCCGGCGCCTGAGACCGCGCACCACCAGAAGCGGCGGTCCCACGCGGCTAGCTGTCGGCAGTCGCAGAGCGGCGACTGCGCGTGCGGCGGCGGAGGCACGCGCGCCTACGAAGAGGTGCGGCGCACGCGTCTCCGCACGGGGGGGTGTGGGACAAAGGGTGCCCCCCCCCCCCCCCCCTCCCGCCAAACGTCTTTCCAGGCAAGGGCCGCCACGGCATCTCGAGTGCACAGTCTGGTGCAGCGGGTGCGCGCGTGATTGTGCGTGCGTGTGCGTGCGTGCGTGCGTGTGCGTGCGTGCGTGCGTTCGTGCGTGCGTCATCGCGCGCCTCGTACCCGCAGCCCGACCCGTCTGCGGCCGCGCACCAGTAGCGCTGCCGCTCCCACACCGCGGGCACGCCGCAGCGGCAAGCCGGCGGCGGCGCCGGCGGCGCCGGCGGCGGCTGGATCGAGTCTCGCAGCACCAGCGCTGAGCGCCGCCGCACCTTGCGCTCGGCTCCGCCCTCGCGCGCCTCGCCGCGCACGGCGGAGCAGTGCCTGAGGCGAGGTGGGGGGTGGGGCGAGGTGGGGGGTGAGGCGAGGTGGGGGGTGAGGCGAGGTGGGGGGTGAGGCGAGGTGGGGGTGAGGCGAGGTGGGGGTGAGGCGTGGAGGGGTGAGGAGGGGTGAGGAGGGGTGAGGCGAGGGAGCACGTCTCCGCACGCTCTTGTGGGGCGAGGGCTCGGGCTGCTCCTCGCATCTCCACGCTCTGAGACGGGAGCGACACGGCATGCAGAGTGCAACGGCCCGGTGCGCGCGGGTGAGCGGTGGTGTGTGCGTGTGCGTGTGTGTGCGTGTGTGCGAGAGGGGGGAGAAGAGTGCGCGGTGCTTGTGTGTCGTGTCGGTGGGAGTTGTGTCGGTGAGAGTGAGTGCCTCGCCCGGTCGATCTTCAGCCCGGTCGAGGAAGTGTCTAGGAAGTGTCTAGGAAGTCTCTAGGAAGTGTCTAGGAAGTGTCCAGGAGGTGCCTCGCTCGGTGGATCGTCAGCCCGTGCAGCCTCTCGAAGGCGGAGCCGCAGTCGACGCACTCGAAGAGGCCGGCGGCGTTCGGCGGGGACGGCGCCGGCTTGGCGCAGTGTCGGCGTTGTCCCAGTCGGATGTATCCCGGCGCACGCGATGATGTTCTCCGTTTAAGAGATTATCCTGGAGGCAGGCGGCTCGCGGCAGCAGGCTGCTACACCAGAGCGGGTGGCCGCTGTCGGCGCTGCGGCCGGCGGCGTCGCCACCTTGTTCCATGATGCCGTCATCGTAGGGCCCCGCCCCCATATGCTGTACCGAAAGTCTGTGCAGCTGTGAACAGCAGCTCCTAGGTCCCCGCCCCTTCCCTCAGTTCAATCCCCGAGAGGAGAGGCAGAGCCTCTGGCGCGATGAGAGCACCCGCGATCCGCAATTCCCTGCGCGCCTTGCGTAGGGCCACAGCCCCTGGGCCAGCTGCTGTGGGAACCACCTCAAGCCACGCTTCATTAGGTGCAGGTGTACACCTTGTACCGACACAGAGGTAGGCGCGCAGCGCCCACACCCTCTACCTAGGTGTGTGAGTGAGTGCTATACCTTAGCGCACCTTATACCGAGGTACCCTCCACATGTCCACACCGGTACCTGGGGTACTCTCGAGACGTTCACACCGGCGGTGCGCGCGCGAATAAGGTGTGCACCGCCCGTCGCGCGAAACGCAACACACAGCTCTCATGGCGCCCAAGAAGCCCACCTCCACGCAGAGCACGACGCTCCAGACCATGGGCATGGACGTGATCAAGCGGTACCCGGGCCCGCTGACAGTCTCGAGGCCCGTCAAGCTAGCCGTCAAGAGGTGGACGTCTCGGC